ACTTTAATCGTGGAACCGAATGTGAAGAAAATCACTCCGTGAGGCGAGTCTTCGATAAAGTCTAATATGTCCTTTAAAAAAAAGTATTAATATATCTTAATTTAACATTGTTTGTAAAAAAAGACAAAATTACAATTTTGAATAAAATAAAATCATTTTTATTTTTTTTTTTAATACTCATAAATTTGAAAATTAATAATATTAAAAAATAATATTAATTTTATAATCATAAAATGTTTCTTATAATTCAAATAAACAAAATTGTTGTCAAATTAATAAAACAAATGATTTTTCATATATTATCCTGATACATTGTAAATGCACTTTGATATAACATTTAAAAATATGTATACTTGAAGCATAAGAGAGAGAAATGATCAAATCGCCCAAATTATTAAATATTGATATTTGTTTAACTTGTGTTTATTGCTTTTATATACCTTCTTTTTACTTTTTAGTAGTGTACATAGCAGTCCATATTATAAATATATTTAATATAATGTAATATCAAATGAATCAATAACATTTGATTACAATTTGCATATTTTAATACCATTTTGAAACTTTTAGGTATTTTTAGCTTTAAACTTAATTAATTTTTTAAGTAATATTGTTTCTTATTTTTGTAAATTCTTTATATTTTAAGTCATTTTTCTTAAGTACTATATTATACAACCATTTTTAAGAATCCTCGCAGTAAAAAAAAATTAAATTTAAATTTATTATTAATAATATTATTTATTCATAGTTTGTAAATTAAGATTACTTATATAATTGTTTAAGAATAGACTTTTTAATATAAAATCACACATTTTTATAACATTAATGAAACATTAACAAAAAATGTAATAATTAATTTAATATAATCTTATCGGAATATCTAAATTTCACTTCCCGCATAGTATCATAAATTCTCCTGCAATTTACATACAGGTCAACGACTTCTTGTTCTAATTTTAATATTGTTATTACATTATGTTTATATTTTATACCAATAAATTGTTACCGTTTTTAATTAAGTAAATTATTTTACACTTTACCTAGTGATATATAAATACATTTATCTAAAAATTAAATTATGTTTCCAACTTCGATATTTTCTATTATATGCTTATGATATCGGAATTTGTATAAAATGGTGATAATATTATTATCATAGTCAATTTTAGAGTCAAAATATTATTGATGTTTAGCGCAGGATTTTTAATTTAGAAGTCATTAATTACTATCATATATTTAATCATAAACGTACCTAGTTATAATCTAAATCCTAATTGCGAACATCAAAAATTAATAATGTACTTATCGTATACTTTTACAATATTTTTAATATTTTATCATCATAATCATCTATACATTATTAAACAGATCATAACTTATAATCACGTTTAGTAAGCCATTAACCCTAGTACCACCAAATTAAAAATGTTTGCGAGGAATTTCTCAAAATATATCATTAAAATGATCTTATTATTATTATTAAATAGCAACGAAAAATAAATATTTTGGAAAATATATCTTTAAAATTAATTATTATCAAATATTTATGAATTTATTTTTTTTTTTTTAACCTAAAGAGTATTTTTAACGGCGAAGTGGCCTCACGTCGAAATGGTAATGGCGAAATGGTTTTACGGCGATGTGTCCTAAATCGGCATCTTTTACCTTTCTAATTCAAAATATTCAAAAAATTGTTTTAAATTTTATTTCAAAAATGTATATAATAATATTATATTATGTTTATCGAATAGATTTTTTTTTTTTAATAATTTGGTTTCGGTCATGTATAGTAATAATTGCACCATGGAAGTTTTTATAGTAAACATACACGACACACACACACACACACATTCATATCAATCAAATCAGATATAATACGGTAATTTAACGATCGCTTACTTTCGGTATGGTTTTAGCGGGTTTGAGATGAATACCACCTACGTAAACAACGTTTGGCGTGAGCGGTCTCGGGGATTCTGTAACGTAATGACTATTCTGGAAGATGATGGACGGATTGACGATCGGTGTTGGATCATACGGTCTCGCATCCATTAACCGGAAAACTAGCTGTTCGCATCTGATCCTGGCCATGCTGTACGTCAGCAGGGCCGTGTTTGTGAACCTCTGGACAAACGTACTGGGCACGGCGTGATTGGCAAAAATGTTAGATACGTAAGACGGATTAGACAAATGACCTGTGAACGTCCATTCGGTAAATGTAACTATCGGTGACGGAATCGAGTAGATCACGGGTAGATCAAGCGCGTTGGCTATGTGTGAAACGCAATCGATGCCCAACGGTTCGATTAAAAGCAAATCGTACCGGTCACGCACTCCAGAAGTTAATAAGTCGACTAGCTTCCGGTTACCGTGTATTGTATCGCAATAGAACCGAAGGACTTTGGATATAGAATTGGATAAGGCAATCGGCCCGCTAAATTTCTGGATCGTCTCCATCACGTCCATGTCGAGCTTTATCGGAAAGTCGTGGGACGTATCCACCTCCGTGTAGTTTGCCCGGTCGCCATCCGGAAACGGCGTAAAAACGGTCACGGTGTGCCCGGCGTCCGTCAGCGATCTCAGTAACGAACTCATAAAGTACCAGTGGCTCTTTCCCGCCACCGTTTCGATTGCCAGTATTCGGGCAGCCTCCGAGACCGGAATCGTGTGCAAGTCATTCGACAACCACAACAATAACGACAGCGAAACTGTGGTCGAAATTTGCATCACTGCCATTGGATTTTTTTTTATTATTATTATTTAGGTAATACGATAAGCGATGTGTAGACAGGTTCGATTGCGCGGGCTTATGATTTTTCGGATATCTATAATAAAAGTATCTACAGCTATAGGTTACCACAGCGCGTATAACGTACAACGCGTTGTGCGTGCGAATAGCTCCGCTCGCGAACTGCAACAGTCGACGGATAAACTTTTTTAGTTGTTACATATTTGACGGGGAACCAGTTATTGATATTATGATTGCATTGGTATATAGTAAATATATATATATATATATTTCATTTATGTTATCGCACACATTGAGTATTACTTTTTTAATGATGTGAAAAATTGCACGTCCCAACATTATACATCATAATATATTATATTTCCATAGCGTATTCATATTATAATAATGCTTTATGCGTGTACTATTTTTAAAATCAAATTACATGAAATGCCCACTAATCGCTTTTATGTTTAATAATAAAACAGGCTTTCATTGTCTTTTGAGTTTTTTCGATTCTTTACTGCACGGCCGTTCGTGTTTCTAAAATATTATGTTTACTCATACGACTTCATTACGACTATAAGAAGTTCTATATCTTTACTTGAAAGACGTGAAAAGTTTTAATCACAAATTTAACACTACTATGTGATCATCATCTATATTTAAAACACTGTTATTAACTTTTATTAATTCAATTTTCTTTTTGTTTAAGTATTTCGAAGTCCTTGTGACCTAATTAACTTATTTCCATGTTAATTTGTGATTTGATGATAAAGTTCGAACTTTATTTTCATAAAATTTAATTTTAGTAAACCTTAATTTTTGTGTAAACTTGTTTTTATATTTTTTTTATAGTAAACTGCTAGCTCAACGATGTTTGGGTATATTTATGTATTTTAAAGATAAGAATTACTCGCGACGTGCTGAATATAACAATTCTTAAGTCGTTTATTCTTTTAATTTTCGAGTTTATATTAAGTATATTTTTTTTTATGAAAGTTCATCTATAATATTTTTAATAATTTTTTAAAAGAAAAGAAAAACGTTCATTTACACATTTAAATTTATATATATATATATATATATATATATATATATATATAAATAAATATAATATATAATAATATATAATATATATATATTATATTTATTGATTCGTTTCCTTCATTTAATAAAAATGTTATTTGATTATAGTAATTAATAATGTCAATTTAATTTTTCCAACATAAAAATGTTCTGTAAATGACATAGAAATTACAGTTAAGCAGTGATCAAATAAATTTGTTAGCAAAACACCAACATTTACTTCATTAAAAGAACATGCATCTTTACTTTTATTAATATATGATCTAAACATGAGTGTCGTTGCCTTTTTTCTAATCTACTTAACACATTTATTAAGAAAAAAACCGTTTTCCAATAAGAAGTCATTATTATTTCGAATATCAATTATGTCTGTATTCGTGTATTCAAATAAGACAATTAAACCAGAATTAAAATTTAAACCACACTAATTTAAAACCTGTTTCGCAAGCAATTGCCTAATTTTTGAACAACCTATTAAAATAAAATTAGTTTAACTTCATAAAAATTGCATAATTTTTCCGATTTTTGTGGATCATTTTCTTGTTTAGTTTTAGTTTTCTTCAGTTGACGATTATGAGACTGTTCTTACTTTGCTTGGCATTTAATTTGGCAATAATTTTTTGGGGTTGATTTACGGTTTTTTAATGTACCAAACTGCATTTACGTATTATCATATAATCTTTATTTTCACTTACAATAAAAATGTAGCCACAATATTTTCTACTATTATTACGCAATGTTTATTCCTTAATCTCTGACATATCCGAAATGCCGATACAATTTTCAAAAATTTTTTATTCCAGAATATTAATTTTTTTCACTGTTTTAACTCGATTATCTTCTATCATTTCTTTAATTAATTATAATACTTCTTTTATTTGCTTCCCAAAGTTGTTCAAATTTATCACTCTCGAGTTCATCAGATCATTTAGATTTTTATAACTATCATTAGAGGAAAGATATAAATCTAGGTGTTTTACTTGATTTGTTTCTTAATTAAAAAAATTTTAAATAAATTTAAACACCAAATTTTTTGCAATAAATTAATTTAACTAATTATTTATTTTTTTTAATAACATGATATTTTGATAAAATTTAAATATAATATTTTAAATGTTTTTAATAAACTGCTAATATTGCATAAGTTACTGAGACTTAACTTTATTACTATGTTTATATTTCAACGCATACTTGCAAATAAATTTTAATATTTTATAAATAATAAACAAAACCAAAGAGGTAAAAATTAATATTACAGAGATCACATCCAATAGAAAATATTGATACCACGTAAGTTTTAGACCATGATATTTTAAATGAGGAGCTCCTTTGTGACGAATGACATACTCAGTCCAATAAACGACTGATTGTTGAGGTGTAATCGGTCGATCTTTGAATCGTTCAGAAGTAATTTTTGCATTTTTTGTGTAACTAGAAAATACAAATATGATTTATTAGATTATAGGATAATTACCATTAGTAATGATTTATTACTGTTAGAATCAATGGTTTTTTAGAGGAAAATTTTTCTCCACAAGAAAAAGTCTAATATCTCATAAATAATTCTAAGTTTTTGATAATTATTTATATTTGAAATGAAATGATAAATATATTAATTTTACATTATGTTTTTTTTTGTATTTGAAATCAATTTTTTAAATTAAAAACCTATTCAATTTTTAACTTTAATATTTTATTTAATAAAAATATGAATCGAGTAAGTACTCAGGATAAGAGGATCAAAAATAAAATATTCCCAGTAATTTTATCATGGTTACGAAAAACAATAATTAAATTATGGAAACTCAGTAACTTTTACTCAAAATCAGTTTAACAAAATCGATTTTGTTGTAATTGAAAAATGAATTATTTTGCAAGCTTTATGTTTTCACCAAACGTTTATATAAAAATGTTCTGTGCAATAAAGTATAAATTTCAAAATATTTTAATTTTATTTGAGTTACTTATAAAAATGTTATTTTTGAATTTTTCCGGTTTTTTTTTTTTTATATAAATTTAATTTAATTAAACAATTAAATTTTTTTTTTAAACTTTGTTAATTTAATATTAAGTTCTTCGTAAATAGTTATTATAGATATTTAAAAATATTAATTATGGATGAGCACAAATTTGTTTGATAAAAATTTTAAGTTCAGATTTCAAAAAAATTTGTAAACACAGTATTTTTTATAAACATATTTAGTTAAAATTTTTTTTTTGTTTTTATTTATATATAATTTACAATCTGTTACAGAATAGAACAATAAGCAAAAGTGATGAGAGAATAATGGCTTGAGTGAAACACAGATTAAAGAAACCTTTCAGTAAAGGCACTTTGACAAGTTAAAATTTGAACAATAATATTTAAACAAAAAAAAAAACCATTTTTGTTAATTTTTTTGATTTTTTTTGTAAATCATGAATTTTTTTTTTTTGTGAGTATACTTAAAAGTCTTCATATATATTATTATACTTTAATTAATATACAATGAAATTTTTAAATCCAATTTTTTTAGCGAAATTAAATCAACCTACTATATACTATATACTATATTACTAATAGTAAAATAAACTATTTTAATAACAATATAAAAATGTCATAAAATAAATAAATAATAAGATAGTCTGACAGACCGTCTCACTCAAAATAATTTTTCATTTGCCATAATTTATCATTATATACTAGTCATTGCCATCACAATTGTACAGTAAAGCGGTTACTTTCTATCGTCCCTTTTATTTTTTATTTGATAGATGAAGACCATGCAGATCGTATTGGTTTTCGATTATAAGAACTATATTTTCAAAAATTGTAATAAACGTATATAATATAAATTCAATATTTTGAAATATATTTTTCTGACGTTTTAAAATTCGCTCTAAATTTTATTCTATGAGGTGTGATCATGTTTTCTATGATGTAATTTTTATTGTTGAAAGGTTTCATTTTATTTTCCATACCAACTAACTAAAACTGAGAGTTTTAATACTACATACAGGTTTATTTGAAACTCACTTTTCATTATTGATGATTTCCGAAATTGAATTCAATAACGTTTCCTCAGTCACAGTAAACAAATCCAAAGCAATTGCCATTTGGGCGTTAACTAAATTGTCTATGTTTCTTTTCTGATCATAGAACAAAGGAAATCCGAGTACTGGAACACTACTGTCTACTGCTTCATACAATCCGGATATACCACCGTGGCTAATAAACAACTTGACATTCGGATGCACTATAATACAATTTAACAATATTATTGTTTCATTTCTTTTCTAGACACGAATGGCTATATATCATATTCACAAGCTTACAGAGTATATCTCGTTGAGGTAACCATTTTTTTATCATCACGTTTTCCGGTTTATCCTTCATTTCGTTTTCGTATTTCCACAAAACTCTCTGGGAAACATTTGCAAACACTTGTTTAAATGTTTTTTCGATATGCACTGGTAATGACGATGTCCTAACAACCGAACCAAATGTGAAAAAAATTACACCATGTGGTGATTCTTCGATGAAATCTAATACGTCCTAAAGTAAAAAACAGTTTGAAATAAAATAAGTATAATTTAAAGTAATCAAATAAATTTCGTTAAATTTGAATTTTGAAAAAATCATTGATTGAATGTATACTTTTGGTATTTTATTTTCAGGTTTCAAGTGTATTCCGCCTATCTCAATGATGTTAAGTGGTACGGGCCTCGAAGCTTCTGTTATATGATGGGTGTTCAAAAAGATTACCGACGGATTGACTTTTGGTGACCATTGGTACCGCCTAGGATTGGTCATTTTCATAACCCAACCATCGTACTCCGTTCTAAGTGTACTGTACACCAACAAGGCCACATTGACAAACCTCTGGACAAATGTCTTAGGTATGGCCTGTTCAGCCATAGTATGCGAGACACTAGCGGGGTTTGATACGTGTCCGGTGAAAGAGCGCTCGGCGACAGTCATCATGGGTGACGGTATTGTGTATATGATTGGTAAGTTTAACGCGTTTGCCAAGTACGACGTACAGTCTAGGGTCCGAGGTTCCATGATGATGAGATCAAACTTCCGGTCGAAGGAGTTACCACCACCGCCATGTACAAGCTGGTCGAACTTTTCGTTTTTGTAGACCGTGTCGCACCATCTGCTGTCCACGTCTGTCAACATGTAGAAATAGGTGACCGGTTCACTGTATGTCTCCATGATCCATGTCAGATTATGATTTATAGCTTCTGGTGATTCTTTCGATATGTCCACTTCTGTGTAGTTTTCCCGATCACCGACCGGAAATGCCGTGAACACAGTAACACTATGACCGGCGTCTGTTAACGACCGGAGCACTCCGCTCATGAAATTCCAGTGACTTTTGGCACCTACTGTTTGTACGGCCAATATTCTAGCGCTTTTCACATGTGACACCCACTGACAAGTCGCGATCAACAGGACCAGCGTCGTAACCGCGGACGAGTATAAACCGTTTACCATTATGGTCACTGTTGTGTTTGCGTCGAATAATATAAAAGATTCAGCTAATAACTATAATACATACATATTAAGTAGTTATCGTGGTAATAATTAATTAAAAGTGTATTTTTTTTTTATTAAAGATGATGCTACACTCGGATCTATGTATAGTCTCCTTCTTATAAGCGAACAATAAGATATAAACCTGTTGTTTGTAAAATTATAATTATTATTAAGTTAAAATGGTATATATAAAAACAAAATTGGGCTATTAATTCGAAAATGCATATATCAATCCCACAATTGAGTTTTCATATTATCAATATTTTTCTTTGGCGTTATCAATTCAAATAACCAATTAATATTATTTATTCTGTCTCTACCATACTCTATAAAATATTTTTGAGTGACTCATTGCAGCAAAATGTTTGGCTGCGCTATCACTTAATTGTTATATCAAATAAATACCATACCTGTTATCATGGATTTAATGATACCATTACCAAATTTTAAATATATTATACATAAAACAATGTGTTTTTAATATAATGGATGGTGTTATATTTTCAATTTACGTTTGCAGACCATAATTTGAAAAACGCTGAACTATATTTAATATAATGCTGGGTCCACACAGTCTGATTTTTGTGTTGTTACTGTTTCTAAAAACATTTAAGATTGTCTCGTCTGTATTGGGAAAAGTTAAGTTTTTATTTTATATATAATATAATGTAATAATATAACATATTCAAAAATTTTCGGTGGTATCATTCAATCTATGATAACAGACATGGTATATATTTAATATAACTATTAAATGATAACGCAGCCAAAAATTTTTCTGCAATGAGACACTCGTATAAATACAGAACAATATAGAAACGACACTCAATCAGCTGGGCGGTCTACATACATCCCTACGATATGAAATATTGGATTCTAAAAATTAAAACCGTATCCGTAATCTGACTAAATGTTGGTAATGTGTATCCCCATTTGTTACAATATTATAAAAACGGAAACAATCCATTGCCCTTGTGATTTTCGTGGGTCTTATTGCTAGAAACGAGCAAATTTGAAATTGCAATAGTTGCATTTTTTTATTATTATTCAGTGTTCTTTCAACAGTTTCAACTAATTTTGAACAATATATTATTCAGTGATAATATTGATATTATTTATTTAAGTGATAACGTATGCCACGCCCCCTGGAGACCGTGTTCAAGGCCAATGTTGCCCGATTTGGTTAATATCAGACAGTGTCTATACCCTGGTATAAATGAACAAACATATAAGTTATCATACAGGAACGAACATGAAAATATTTTGAAATTATAAAGATCTTAACACAAATATATAACACTATCAAGAGATCATTTATTTTTGATGGATAATAAAATATAATTTATTTAATTTATTTAATCAATAAATAATAATTCAGCAAATAAACATCTTTTAAATCTTATTAGTCAAGTAATTGATTATAGGTATAGATAATACAAATCATTCATTACTGAAATGTACAAATTTTGTTAATTTTGACCTAGTTTTTTCTAATTTAAGTTTGTATTATTTATTTTACGTAGCTCATGGAAAACTCTAATGTCTATATATTTAACAGCAATTAAATTAATTATTAATTAACAATTAACATCTTAATAATTAAGTGACCGATATTAATCGTACCTGTGAAATGGTAAATCTTTAATAACTGCAGTCTTCAGACGAAACAATTAAAATTCTACAATAATGAACTATGGTTTTAACATCAATTTACAACTGTTTTATTAGAACACAATTATTAAAAGTAAATAAGTTAAATATTAACATAAACAATATCAATATAACAGGTTAAAGATACGATTATTTAATAATTTTTATTCATAATAATATTATTATTACTAAAAGATTTATAATTTTCAACGATATCTACGTCCTTCAATGATAATAATCACAGAATATGTCTTATGATAAGACATCTGCTAGAGCGAGGAACATTGATAAAAATAACCTTTCTCTCTTTCTCATTCTGACACACTTCCCTCTATATTTTTTAAAATAACCATGGCCTATCTACACAGTAAGTACACTCTATAGTCTCTACCTTAGCCAAACACTGATAACAAATTTGTGATAGATTATCAAATATAATAATTTAATATTTATCACTCAGTTGGTAAAATAGAAAAATAATAATAATATGAAAAAATCGTGAATGTTTTATAGACCACATCTGCTAAAAGAGATGTAAATTGAGCATTTTAAAAATACAAAATTAATAATCAATTAATAATAAAAATATTTTGAGTATGCATACTTTAAGTAGATAATCGATGATTTTGATATATTAATAATTTGACAACTAAATCACTCAAATAATATTGTTTTTATGTAACTAAAAAATAAAAAAAAAAAAATAAAAATACTGACCAAAATCCTCTGAAAGAATACAGATGGCGTTTTTAATTTGTAATTAAATAATATATTAGTACACTTTAATACTGTAAAGTTTAAATAGTATAAAGTTTGCTTTTAAAAATAACAAAATTTAGAATCGCTAATCACAAGTGTATTAAATATTTAAAACTAACACTTCATTAAATTAATACGGGCATCACGGTCTCTAAAATATCATGCAAGATAATAAAATGTACTCGTAAACATGTTTCATTAAATTGATAGCATAGTTTATAAAATTAATGATAATAGTAATAAAATACGTATTTACTCAAATCAAATGCTTTGCTCGTTTGCAATGTTAAACATATTTTATTACCATAAAAAATATCTAAAACAATGTTAGAATACACTAAAAGTTTAATACAAATTTCAAATTTACCAAGGCAGGCTTCGACATTTAATCACGTAATATATGTTTTGAGAGATTATCAACAGATTACTATATGAGACAAATCGACAATCGTACAGTCTCAGAACGGAAGTTGTTAACTCTAATCGTCGTAAGTATTTGGTTTTTAACAAACGGATTTCGGTGAAGAAAAACGTGCTACATAATCGGACAAAACTGAACCAGAATTTTTTTTTCTTTTTTGAGGAAAAATTTTACTTTCACATTAAAACATATTATTTTACATTGTTATTAATTTATTACCTACTAATTTGTGAATCAATACCGATAAACTATAGAATAGTGTAAATAAGCTCGTAATAAAAATTGACAAAGTATGACATCAATCCAAATGTTTTACAAAATATAGTAATGTACGTAGGTATACATTTAAAATCATCTCGAAAAATGTCTTTGAATTACAACAAATCAACTCAAGTTATTAATCTTCATTTAATTATCTAATTTCATGCAAATTTTAAATTAAAATTTCTATGAAAAAATAATGTGCACATTTTGAAATTCTAATAATATTATCCGAACTCATAATATTATACTCTGTATTCTTTATAAATAAATCATTATTAGTGTTAGGTGCGCTGGTCATATTTTACGAAAATTATCAGTTTACGATTATATTAACACAATTAATATTTTATTCACAACACACTAATTAGTTTATATATAGGTTAATTAGATAATGTAAACATTATACACTGTTCACAAAGATAAGGTTTACATTACCGTCATTACCCTGTTAATATGTTAACACCCATCATTGTAAAATCAATACATTTATACCTCCGCTTAAAAGTCATAATCTAAAACATACGTCTTCTGTCTATTGTAAGTTATCGGAACGTCAAACATATCGGTTGCAAAGTCCAGTAATAGATTCGAATACAATCGCGGCGTCCTATGATTCCCATCGATCGTTTCCTCAACAGTCCGCGGTTGACTCACTTTATTTCACCGAATCGTTGGTTCCCATAGAATTTTCACAATAGAATATGTTGTACATGCCTAAAATAACACGTTAGCGGATGCAGCTAGTTTACTAAAATCGATTACTATCGAGAAATCATCAGACCTGTTTATTTCCGTATAGTTTTCATAGTCGTCTTCCGAAAATCGTGTAATAAGTTTACGTCCAACGGGATGCTTACATAACATACGTTATCATCAACGAACCTCTTATAGATTTACCTCTATATTCGTTAAAGGTCACACAGGTTTATCAGCTATTATATAATATGCATTCCATTTGTATTGATTAAGTACGTAATTAAATACACTCATTGACTTTTCGATACAAGTATAAACACATTATGTGAGTAATATAAGAACACAAGTCCAAGGGCTCACAACTGAACCAAATAACTCAAGTGTTTGTAAAACAGTAAAAAAAAAGTAATTTTCTGTGCCAATAATAATTTGTATGATAATTTCATCGATAACCCCCAAATATTATATTTATTTTTTTAGTCCCTAAACCAAAATACAATCAATATACTTATTAAATTTTACCGATTTCAGGGACGGAGTTATAACAAAATGTCTATCCCACCGGTATATTTTCTGACTTGCAAAAATAAATTTATACTTCATGAATACTAAAGTAATGTAAATTCTTGTATTGTAAAAAAAGAATAAGTCTACATTTTTATACACGATTAAACGTGGAGTTTAATTAAAAAAGCTACCGGAAGAAATAAAATTATTAGTGATCGGATTATCATTTGTGTTGAAAGTAATAATTTTACTCTTTTATGATGAAAAGGAAATCGCAAATTAATTTTAGTAATTATTTTTATAATGTAGGTAAAACCATTTCTGATAAAATAATTGAAAAGGGATTTAATGAGATTAATTTCAATAACGTTAATAATAATTCTTTTATTCCTGATACTATATTTTTATCTCCACGTTTTCCTAATAAAACTATAAACTACATACCTAAATAAATACAAATATGCATAATATAGTTTATAATTTCTTATTTTCTTTTTTTTAATTATTTAAAATAATCTAAAAGAGTCAACAACATTTTTGAATATAATTTATTTAATTAAGTTTTAAAAATGACAGCTACTCCTGTTTTATTCTCTGTTTTTAATATATTTTATAACTTTGCATTATCAACTAGTATTTTCCCTTATTGTTTTAAGAAATTAATTATTATTCCTTTACATAAAACTAGAGATAAAAAAACAATGCAATAATTACAAACCTATTTCATTAACTCTTTCAATTTCTAAAATTTTTGAACAGTATTTAAAGAAAAAGTTATTAGACTTCCTTACTTAATAAATTATATTTTATTTTTTTTTCAAAAAATCGATTTGGTTTTAGATCTGGAAAATCTGCAATAGATACATGATTTAAGTTTGCTAATTTTTTGCATACTAACCTGAACAAGTAGGTGATTGTAATATTTTTAGATATTAAAAAAGCTTTTAATTCTATTGACCATAAAATATTAGTTAATAAACTAGATTTATATGGTATAAGAGAAAAAGCCTTACACTCATTTACTTCATATCATAATGATGGGTCACATTTAATAATGATTAACTATGCTTTTAGTGATAATTTATCAACAAAGCATTGTATACCACAAGGTACAGTACTAGGTCCTATACTATTCATGATTAACATTAATGATTTTTTAAATTTAAAAATAAATAGCGTACTTATTTCTTATGCTGATGAGCTGATGACACTACAGTTTTGATTCAACTGAAATATTTGACTCTACAACGCTTTGTTAAAAAAAAAAAATTAAAAATTGGTTATCTAATAATATGTTGGAACTTAATCTTAACAAGTTTAATTATACTCATTCCCGTATATCAAATGCCACAAGCGGTCTCAATTCTCCATTAATAATTCATAGTTTTAATTATTCACTGAATGATGACTGCTATTGTACAGGTATTTATTACATAAAATTAATTAAATACCTATGTATTAATGTTAATGAAATGTTTAAATGGACAACCACATTCAGCACATTTCAACTTAATTTGAAAATTATTTTATATTTTTAGGTCATTAAGATGTTTACCAAACTCACAGATGATTTATTTCTGTATTGCTCAATCTATAATATCTAATAAGTCATGGTATTGGTATAGCAGTCTAGGGGTGGAATTTATAATGTATATACCTATGACTAATCTTGAAATTACAACACGTACATCAATTAAAATTATACTTAAAAAGTCTATATCTTATCTTACAAATAATTTTTTTTAATGATTTTAATTTTTTTAATTTAAAAACTATTTATTATAAAAACGTAATTTCACATAGAAATAGAAGTGAATCTATTTATGCTACAAAACAAATATAATAGACGTTTAAAAAATAATATTAATTTAAATATTATAAAATTTAACAAATAACTTGGAAAAATAAACACAATACATTTAGGAATAGATCTTTGTAGAAAATTAAATATTAATTCGAAAAAATTTAAAAATAAGAAAATGCTGAATTAAATAAAAAAGTTAGATTTCATAATATTTTAGCATAATAAAATGTATAATTAATGATGTTGATATACATCATATATACATATTTTATTTTTTTATTACCTATAATTTTTTAAGAAAAATATGTTATTCATATTTAACTTTATATATATTTTTATTTGAACTCATTTACTTCAAACACATAGCAACACATATTTTATGATTTTATTTATTGTTAAATATTATAATGAATTAATTAAAACTGATTTTACGAAAAATGATTGAGTATAGTTGAAAAATTTAGTTTTACGTTTTACTCTTCACAAAGACAACTTAATAAATAAATTACTAGCATACATGATAATAATACAATAAAAATTTTGAAAATGTTTAGCAATAAATATGATATTACGAGTAAATTAGTAATTACATTGAAACCCGATTGAGCACAGGCGCAATTGAACAATACTAATTCAAAAAAATATTAAAATATAATATAATTGAGTACAT